AATTGTATCCCCAAAAACGTTATACAGAGAGTGAAAAGAAAATTAAAACAAAAAAAGGGGAAACAAAGCCGTGATGGTGTCATATAGTTCGGCTGATGGAAACCACAGCTCGTTGAGGTTTGTTGGCTTCCTTTCAGAAGGCAAAAAGAACAAAAAACAAAAATATAACCAAAAGAAAATGAACTTTTTGTTTTTTTGGGGAAGCTGGAACAAGAACTTTTGGATAAAACACAACTGTGCATTTTGTATAATCCACCGTTAGCTCATTACATCGCCCTGTGCCCAATGTCGAGGAAGTCCCAAGCAATTTTTAGACAAGTATGGGTCTTAAGAAGGGTTCTAATGTCAGCAGCTGAGATATATCAACCGTGCAGGTCACTTGACCACTCGTTGTACAGTTCGAGTTCCAAGAGAAGTCCGGGACATCGTGGAGAAAAAAAAAAAAGATTTCAGCTACTGGTTGTACGCAGGAAGTGGCGCGTGAAATCTATACTTCTTGGCTGCTGAGTCCCACACCCGCTAGACTGCTGTGCATTTTATCTGTAACAGTCATGTTAAAGTGATCCCCGTCTTCACTGTCGTTGGTGCCGCTCTGCCAATCCATCGGCTGGTTGGACAAACTCTCCTCATGGACAGACGAGTTGCTCAACGACGGAGACTTTTCTTTAGTCCAGAACCCTTCGACTTTTTCCAAGGAATTCTGTTTCCATTTGGTTGGCTCCTCGTCGCTTTCTGCCGAGTGATCCTTCGCCTCTTCCTTGGCGCTCCCGGCATCCTCGCTGTGGTTGGAATCATTGATCAAAGTTTCGGCCTTGACCTCTGCCGGGCCGTCCTCTACTTCTAAAACCTGTTGCAAAACGGGTTTGCTGTCGGATCGAGGCGAGGTCTCATCTTTCCACGTGGGCGGTTCTTCTTTCTCTTCCTCGCTGTCGGAATTGTCTAAGATTATTTCATTGGATGAATCCGAATGATTGTTGGATTTTGATGGAACGGGTGCCTTTTGGCTATCTGGAGACTCCTTGGTCCGCGGTGGTGGACTCAACTCTGGCTCTGTGCTTGGGGATTTCACCGGCTCGGCGACACCTTTTTCAGGAGGCAGCTCGGCATCCCCCTTTTCAGGTGACAGCTCGGCGACCCCCTTTTCAGGTGACAGCTCGGAGACCTCTTTGTCAGATGACAGTTTGGCAATCCCCTTTTCAGGTGATGGCTCGGTGACCCCCTTTTCAGGTGACAGCGCGGCAACCTCCTTTTCAGGTGACAGCGCGGCAACCTCCTTGTCAGGCGACAGCTCGGCAACCTCCTTGTCAGGTGACAGCTCGATGACACTATCGTTTAAGTCTTCAGCATTTGCAGAACTATCTGAGGAACTAGACTCGTTAAGTTTTCTCTTATCTACAGTCTTACTTGCGTTTGGTGCAGACTGGGATTCGTCGATGTTCTCAAACATCCACTCAGCCCCAAAATCCATATTGTGTTCAACTTTATTCAGTTCTTTCATTTTAAACCCAAGAAGAACGCTGCACTTGTACCGCTCACAGTCTCGGACAGACTTTTTCCTCTTGTTGCTAAAATGAGATGCTATATCGCTCTTCCATAACCACAGGCTGGACGCCAGCTTCTCGATTTCTCTCCTGCTAGCATAGGGCTGAATGTTGAAGTATTTTGTAAGGAATGTCTTTCTGTCTTCGTAGGAGTCGTCTTCATGCCCTTTAGGATCGACTGCCAGAACCACCGGCGGTTCCTCAGGCTTATCGTCTAATAAAATTATCGGAGCATCGGGGTCGTCGTCTGGCCTTCTCTTCTTCACGTTGACTAAATCAACAAAGTCATTTGGCCGTTTCATAGCAGGATATGCTTGGCCAGTATTTATTCTTATGGGTGCCCCCTTATCCTGCCCGTTCTGTGTTTTTCCAACACCTCGGCAATGCACCAGGTGCAATGTGATCGTTGATGCCGTCATGTTACTGGTGTACACGCCAAGGCAATGGATACACTTGTAGGTGAGCTTTTTCTCCACCGGGTGGACGGTCTGAATGACTTGGTGGCGTTCTCTCAAATGGTGGGCAAGAGCATCAGAAATGGGCCCCTTCAAGATGGAAAAGCAGAGCGGGCATAAAGTTTTACCTACATCTTTCTTGTAGGGCAATGCAGTCTGTGGCGAGTTTTTGTTTGCGGGTTCCACCTTTTCAAGGGCCTTTGCCTGGGTTTTCGGGGGAGGAGGAGGAGGAGGGGGAGCAGCCGCTGGTTGATTTTGAGCGTGGTAAGCAACAGATTCAGCTGGAGCATCCCGTAGGTTGTATGTGGTGACAAGCAAGTGGATATTTGTGTGGCTACCTTGCTGTAACGTTAGGTCAAAAGTCAACGTGGAATCAGTTTTGGGTGCCATTTCTTCATTGGCATGAACCATTCTCATGTGAGCGGCCATCTTCTCGACGTCGTTGAAAGTCGACCGGCAATAAGGGCAGGAGAGGCCGTGGATCAGCATGTGATTTAGCAAGGTGTCGGTTGGCAAGTAGCGATTACAGTATAGACATTTGCTTGTGAAGTTGTGTATTTTCATGATGTAGTTTGCTACCGCAGGCACCTTTTCAGCCTTGTGCTCCTTCTCGAAGTGAATGCTGTATACGTTTTCAGGAAACAGCTCGTTGCAGATAGTGCAGATCTTCCATTTCTGGGTAGACGAGGTGGAATTTGCAGCGGCGACAGCAGCTACCGCTGAAGCAGCTCCGGGAGGCTTTGCACTCGCCTGGACCATACCGCGAGAGGCTACATGGGGCGGAGTAATAGAAGCAGGCTTTAGATGGCTACTTGACAAAGCCGAGTTTCCAGACTGAAGAGAGTACCTTAGTGGAGCAGGTGACCTCTGGTCATTCGCAAGGGTGTACGGCCTTACGTTGCCACCAGGAAGTAATTGCTTCATTGACTGAGATTGCTGAGGGATAGACACGGATGCATTACCACCCATTCCCAGCCTCATCTGCTGGCCGACTGCATATCCTTGAGTGATTCCTTTAACGCCATAATTATTCTGCTGCATGTGCATGTTGGACATTATGTTGGAATTCATTGACGGCTTTGGTATCGCAAGTCTATTGACCATTTGTTGTGAAGGAAGAGGTCGGATGTTGGCTGGCGTAACTGGACCCATTCGCTGAGGCATGCCGGGGGCCTTCTTCTCCTGCGGCTTTGGTGCTATCAGCATCAATGGCTTGGATCTGGGGACAACCACATTGGTGTGACTGATCATAGCTGTGACTTGGTAGCCAATACGTTCGTGGTCTTCTATGATGTGCTGGACTAAAGTCTCATAACTCTTCGGCATGAACCGACAGCGCTTGCACTGAATGCTGCTGTCGTCATTGGAGTTTGAACCTGTAGACACAGCGCCGTTGACATTTTTCTCACACTTGGCGACATAGGGTGCTGCGACATGCTGAAAGTGTTCCCTGTATATATGTTTCCTCACCACTTCATAGAGGGGATCTCTGTAAGTGCACTTCTTACAATAATACACCGCCTGTTCCACGCTGTCTGACGGCTTGGGCTTAAGGCTCTCAAACTTGTTTTTATCCTTCAAAGAAGTTTGGGGTGGGTTTGGCTGCGGTGCAGTGGGAGCATGGAACACCTTAATGTGCATTTCCAAGGTCTTTCTGTCTCCATTGTATGTGCAGTATGGACAGTTCAGCAGAATGCGGTTCTCAAAGTCCTCGTTGTGTACATTGCGAAAGTGACTTTTATAGGCGGAGAAAAACTTAGAGGAGAATGGACATTGGCTGCAGCAGAACTGTTTCGTGCGATAGTCCTAGAAAAAGGAAGTAGAAAAGGTGCAAATTAATACTGGACTCCAACTTAGAATTTGTACAGAAGAAAACAATGTGAAGCCTTTATTTCCAGCTGTAAAAGTTTAGGTAAAAGGAAAACTGGGGCTGACGTTACTGGTTTCATTGGCAAAACATATGCAAGGAAAAGAAAATGAGAACCGGAAACCATTCACAACACCAACCCATTACATCCCAACGCACCTACCTAGACATCACTGCATAACGCGCACACACACCAGGTGCAATGCACAGATGTGAACCATTTTCACATTGTAGTGCGTCAGGGTAACAATCAGTACATGTCCATTTTTTTATGCATTAAAAAAAGGAGAACTATGGGGTCTGTGTTTTCCCCCATAGTTCTCCTAAGGGTAACGGGAGGACACAAACTAGCCTCCTCCCGTCACCCAAAGCTCAGTATATAGGGAGCTGTATGAGACGCCGCAGCCGGATTCCAACATTACTGTCAAGATCCACCCAGCTGCGTGATTGACAGCTGGCTCTGCCTATCGAGAGGCAGAGCCAGCTGTACCCGCCCCCCTGCTCCACCAGTCAGCGCAGGGAGACGTGAGTGACAGACACAGCTCTCTGCGGGGACATGATTGAGAAGTGAGCGAGCGACGGTATGTGTTCGCTCACTTCCCGATCTAATGAGCCGACCTGTGACAGTCTCATTGTCACAGGTCGGCTAGAACTAGGAGGTGAGTGATTTTCATAGCTGCTGCTCGCGGTATACTGAGACGCCGCAGCCGGAGCAGATCCCGACAATTATGCCGGGATCCGCCCAGCTGCGTGACTGACAGCTGGCTCTGCCTATCTAGAGGCAAAGCCAGCTGTACCCGCCCCCTCCCCGTCCGTTCCTCCAGTCAGTGCTGGCGGATCAGAGCGGGGAGGGGGGAATCCAGCCCCTCCCCTATCACGGCAGAGAGCAGTGACAGGATCGAAAAGTGAGCGAACGCCGCTATGTGTTCTCTCACCTCCCGATCTACTGAGCCGACCTGTGACAGTCTCATTGTCACAGGTCGGCTAGAACTATGAGGTGAGTGAAAAGCACCTCCCCTTATAGCTCTCCTTACAACACCTAGCGTAAATGAGGCCTCAATGCAAGCCTATCACTATGTGCCTCAGCCTGATTTTATCACATTTGTTTCCATAGAACACGGACTATACCATCCCATCTACAGGTGGCCACTAGAGGGAGAAATTATAAGGGATAAAGTCAAAGGAGATATTTGCATCAAGAATGACTTGTCAGGAAAACATTAAAAGAAAATGCATTATTGATCCCCCTGAATGCGATCAGCTGACATAGCCGACATTTTATCGACAGTCATGTGCATGAAGGGCTTGCAACAGCATAAAGAACAATCTAGTCTGCTCTGCTGCTCATGTCTGGGAGCAAAAAAGAAAGAAATGGAGGGAGAGGGCGGCGAATGATGGCTGTCTGGTAACTGGGTCACCAGTATACCTAAAGCCAACAGGGAACATTTTGAAATAACTCGATTATATAAAATTCCAGATTAACACACTTACAGACTTGTAATGATTTAGTGTCCGTTATATCGGCCATATTAGGTTATTATAACTACAGTAATACCTAAAATATTCATATAAAATGATTACAATACTGTACTGTAATATAACACTGTACAAAATATAAAGACAAATAAACCAATTTCCGGTTACCTTTGTGGCTGGTGTGAGGGGGACGAGAGAGAGAGGAGGATTATTGTGTAGGACAACTATCACTAACGGAATCACTGCGATCTCTTGACTCAATGGAATCATTTTCATTTCGGGAAACCTTAACAAGGAATCTATCCAATGTGACATTGCATTGTCGTTAAACAGACTAATCGCTCGCACTGCTACAGCCTTATTCGGGTGGCGGTTCTCTACAAAAATTTTGCTCTTATTTCAAGACGTCGCTTGTATATCAAGGCAACATTTTTCAGAAATGTTTGCTTGTCTTGCAAAACGCTCTCAAACCAAGTTACTTGTAAACCGAGGTATTACTGTATAAGCAATGTCTAATGCTAGCAGATAATGGAAAGGCAAGTGAGCAGCAACTGCCGATTGCATCATGAAAAGGGGGGGGGGGGTATCGCCTGAACGGTTAGTCTTTGCCTGCATGTCTATGTGGCTAGCTCAAAGGTTATGTGAGCTTCTAAAGAAATCGTCATTTATAAGCAATAATACATATATGACCCCTCTGTGTGATTGCAGCTGCTTATATGACTGAAGTAGACAGTTTAAAGAGAACTATGAGGCGAGTGAAAAATCACTCATCCTCATAGCTGTGAAACTGTCACAGGTCGGCTCAATAGATCGGGAAGTGAGTGAACACATACCGTCGCTCGCTCACTTCTCAATCTATCCCTGCAGAGCCGTGACTGTCACGGCTCCCTGGAGGGATTCCCCCCCCTTTCTGCTCCGATCCCCCAGCGCTGACTGGCAGAACGGACGGAGGAGGGTACAGCTGGCTCTGCCTCTAGATAGGGAGAGCCAGCTGTCAATCACGCAGCTGGGTGGATCACGACAGTAATGTCGGGATCCGTCCCGGCTGCTGCGTCTCAGTAGATCGCGAGCTGTAGCTCCCTATATACTGAGCTTAGGGTGACGGGAGGATGCTAGTTTGTCTCCTCCCGTTACCCTTAGGAGAACTATGAGGAAAAGCCCTGACCCCATAGTTCTCCTTTGACACCTCCAATGCTCAACTCATACAAACCAGGAGATGAGAAAAGACCCTAATGTCGAGAAGGTGAAGACTGTCCAGATTTAAGTGAAAGCATGACTCAAGACGGGCAAGATGGATCTGATCAGAAGAGCAGCGAGCAGCGCAATATTTCTGCGGCAAACACTCATTATTATTAACAAAATCATTTTACAGAATCGGTTTGTTAAATCTCCCTATAAAATGGATCAATTGTCAAGTCAATGAATCCACTGTGGGATTTTCCTGCCGTTGTAGGACTGTATCAAGTATGGGTATACATTTGGATTACGTGGCTGGAAAGTTGTCCACTACTGATGGGACACTTGTCAGAACTTTAGACATACCTGATTTTTAGTAAGCGACGGGTCATGGAGTCCCACATCGTCCCAGGAGGTATTCTTCACATAGAAGTCATTGGGTTCGAACTGCTTAAATTCCTGAATGAAGAGAAAAGTGTGCAAGATATTAATTATCCATCCGGCACTTCGAATAAAGAGGATCATAATTCTTTGTTACTGGGTAGCAAGGTGTGCCTGTAATCAGAAAAGGAATACAACTCTCTCATAGTAAGGACGCAGTGATATCTTCCCGAGTACGTCCCATCTGACCACCCAATACCCTCTCTATAGAACAGCCAAGTTCCAAGAGACATGAGGCCAACACTTTTAATACGTCTCTCGTCAGAAACATGCGATTTAAAAAAGGGCCTTCGAGGTAATCAATTCTCAAAATGAACAGAAAAAAAATGGTCATACTTGAGAACTATGGGGTCAGGGTTTTTCCCCATAGTTCTCCTTAAGGTAACGGGAGGACACAAACTAGCTTCCTCCCTCTTCACCTTAAGCTCAGTATATAGGGAGCTACAGCTCTGAGAGGCCGCAGCTGAAACGGATCCCGAAATTATGTCTGGATCTGCCCAGCTGCGTGAGTGACAGCTGGCTCAGCTTAAAGCCCCATTCACACTGAGCGACATGAAAATCACGCGACTTTGAGCGACGTGTCGCACGACTTTTTCCTATTGGCCTGTATGCAATCAGGAGCAATATCGCTCAAAATTGCTCTAAAAAAGGGTCATGTAGCGACAAGCTACCAGCGACGAGCTACAAGCGATATTGAGCGACGAGATGTGAACAGCTCCATTGAAATGTATTGGAGCAGCTACGATAAATCGCTCAGTGTGAACGGGGCCTTATCTTTGAGGCAGAGCCAGCTGTACCCTCCACCGTCCGTTCCGCCAGTCAGCGCTGGAGGATCAGAGCGGGGAGGGGGGAATCCAGTCCCTCCCCTGTCACTGCTCTCTGCAGTGACAGGATCGAGAAGTGAGCGAACGCTAGAGGCAGTGCCAGCTGTACCCACCCTGTCCGTTCCGCCAGTCAGCGCTGGAGGATTGGGCAGAGGGGATTTCCTGCAAGGAGCCGTGAGTGACTATCATGGCTCTCTGCAGGGACATGATCGAGAGGTGAGCGAACGCCGGTATGTGTTCGCTCACCTCCCGATCTACTGAGCCAACCTGTGACAGTCTCATTGTCACAGATCGGCTAGAACTATGAGGTGAGTGAGAAGCACTCACCTCATAGTTCTCCTTTAAAGATGGAGTATGAAAATACTTTGTGACACAGAAAAACTTGCCTAGGGTTTCAGGTTTTTTTCACACCGGCTTCACTTGGATCTCCCACATCATGCCACTGCATAAAACCATTCCTGGTGTCCTGAAGCTTTGCCAACTTGACCCTAAGCCGCTCATTTCACAGGCCAAAGATCCCCAACTCCTCCCAGGATATGTCTCTGCAGATTGTATAATTATGTACACTGTGTTCACATCCGCGCTCCCTTTATCAAACGCAATCACCAGAAGTGTTCAGTTCTGAGGACGGCAGCTAAACACGGTGACCAGCAAGAGATTACACAACCTTATGGAGGCCTTCTTGAAGATCTGTTTAATCATATCACTGCACAACTGGATTGCTTCAGGGTTCACTGAATGATTTTGCATCTTAAATGAAGCTGATGTTTAAAGTAGACCAGGAATGTCTCAGAGACATCCTGATAAATGTATATCAATCAGCGTACTTCCTGCCGGGACTGTGCCTAGGCATTCATGTGCCTTGAGCCTCAAAGCTCTTTTTCTGTAAGATTTAAGGGACTGCTGCCGCTGACTGCTAGTAGAGATGTTCCTGCTTTGCTGATCACTGTCCTTGCTGGAGAAAAACCTGTACCCGAGGGACCTGCAGCAAGGATCTCCCTGCTTCTACTTAAGGAGAACTATGGAGTTAAGGCTTTTCCCCATAGTTCTCCTTAGGGTAACGGGAGGACACAAACTAGCATCCTCCCGTCACCCTAGGCTCAGTATACCGCCAGCTGTAGCTCACTATATACTGAGACGCCGCAGTATACCGCAAGCTTCTGCTCGCGCTATACTGGAGGCGCCGCAGCTGAAGCGGATGCCGACAATTGTGCCGGGATCCGCCCAGCTGCGTGACTGACAGCTGGCTCTGCCTATCTAGTGGCAGAGCCAGCTGTACACACCCCCTCCCCCGTCCGTTCTCGGCAGAGAGCCGTGACAGGATCGAGAGGTGAGCGAACGCCGGTATGTGTTGGCTCACCTCCCGATCTACTGAGCCGACCTGTGACAGTCTCATTGTCACAGGTCGGCTAGAACTATGAGGTGAGTGAAAAGCACTCACCTCATAGTTCTCCTTTAACCTATTCTGTGAATCTGTGCTTCCTGCACCTCTCCTGCGTCATCATTTGCCCCCACCAGTCATCAGGGGGCAGCTCCGACACAAAGAAGCAAAATAGCCGTCTGCGTATAAAGATAATTAACGGGGATAGCAACAGCAGCAAAAAAACGTTTTACGATCAACTCCATAACAAGGACTAGAGGTCATCACCTAAAATAGGTGGAGAAAAGATTTCAGCACAAGGGGCATAAGGGGTTCTCAGTTAGAGCGGTTAGGGTCCGGAACTCGCTGCCAGCAGTGATTTCAGCTGAGAGTTTGGAATCATTCAAAAAAACATTCGGACGATTTCCTCCTGGACCGTAACATACAGGGCGACAGGTACAGTTAAGAATATCACACATGGACAAATACACATGCAGAATCACACGCATACACGCAATAGGTTGTACAGCGTCCATAGTTCAGTTCCTCTTTACCACGGAAGAGGCTGTACTTGAAGATGGTCATTAAGGAAGACCCAAGAAGAGACTCACCTCCACATGTTCTCTGCAGTAGTCGAGGCCAATGTCCCCCAGGATCTTCTTCACCGTCTTCCTGGCTTTCCGTAAACTGCCAAGGTTATTTACAGGAAGCTGGAACATTATTACTACCTGGGAAAGAAAAAAAAAAAGACAAAAAGCGCGTTAGAACACAAAACGGTCTTCCCACTAAAGAAAGCACAAGAAACGACAAGCCCATACTATAGGTGGCCGTGCACAGCCAATACAAACACAAGCTGGAGCCATTTACAGAAATATCAGATGCAAAATGTTTGCTGATTTCCTGACCTGATGCATCACCTGATCATCATAGAGAGGCGCTGGGAATAAACTTGTATGTGTAGTCAGATCAAGCAAAGAAAACCCTAAACAAGCTGCACAGCTCCGGATCTCTCACACAGCAAGGCTTTTCTCAAAGTGTAGAGTGAAAACCCGAAGCGCACAGCTCGCCCCTATCATGCGTCCTCGCAATCCTCATTCGGTGCACGGATGAATCTCTTCCGGAGTAAAAGGCTCAAAAACCGGAACCAGCATATGATAGTCTTCCAAAGAAATTCAAACTTCATTCCGCATGCATCTGTACAAAGCACAACTGCTCTCTCTCTCTCAATGGGTACCCAACAGTAGCGCCAACCAAAGAGTTAGGTCTCGTTCACACCTAGGCGTATTGCATATGCGCGTCTGTGGCGCGTTTTTTTAACCGCGATTCCGAAGGCTACTTGGCTGTATCCCAATGGAAACGCGCAACAAAAACGGCCCAAAGTAGTTCATGTACCTTTTCAGGCGTGGACCGTTTTGTAGCGCGTTAGGCACGGGCGGAAATACGCCAAGGTGGGAACGAGACCATTGAATACAACGGGATTTATATTTTTGAGCGTTTTGTAGAGCGTTCGTCGAGCGTAGAAAGCGCTACAAAACGTTCAGGTGTGAACGAGGGTTACCAGAAAGGAGCGCCAGACCAAAAATGGATGAGATTTGTAGAGGACCTATTTACTAACAAACTAACATGTTTCAGGAGCAAACCAACGTCCCCTTTCATTAGGGCTCAACACAGAATAAACATGTATACTCTGAAACAAAAGTGACCGCACAGTTATATATTACAATGGTATAAAAGGTCTCCTCATAGAGTAACAGCTGCTGAGCTGCACCATCTGTCATGCTCTGATAAAGAGCTCACCTTCTATGGTCACCCTCCATGCAGATTGGGCATCAATTGACAGCAAGTTCCGACAGGTTCAACATATCAATCAACCAATCAAATGTATTTCAGGATTGAGGCTTTTAATTGCCAATTTAAAAATGAAGAAAATGGAGCAATGTATCCTTCTCTATCCCTACTGGATATGTAACACTGTGGCCCAGGGGGTCTATCAGCTGGAAGCGATGTAAAACTGGCATGGGATCAATGCGGATATCGGTGCATGGAATGGAAAGCAACAAAGGAGTCAGAAGAAACTTATCTTGGATGGTAAAGGCAACAAGACTCGCTTATAAGTACCAGCAGATAGCAGCAAACACTCGGAGGAATCAAAAAGGATGGTAGAGCCACCTTTTTAAACCAGCTTTAAAAAAAAAAAGGTGGCTCTACCAGGTTTTGGGGGGCACTGATAACTCCTTCTGCTCTACCCCCACCTTCACAATCATGGACATCCAGGTGAACAGAATGACCAACTCAAAACAGAAAAGCACCTTTGGTTTTATTTACTAAAGGAAAATATCCTGTTCATTCTGCAAATTGAATGGCATTGAATGACGTAGACGCGCGCTCACTCCGAATACAGAATCATGTGAAAGAACAATAAAAGCGGGTTTTTTTTTTTTTCCAGCACTCGATTTGTTCATTGAACGCCGGCTACATCTTAATTTACCAACAACCATTCACCTTACACATTCACTATGCCAAGCAAACAGTCCATTCCCTTAGTAAAGTAACATCATATTCGCCCAATTGTAACCTAAAGCAAGCTTAGAATCTGAAGGCACAGAAACCAAAAAAGTCCTTAATTTTGGGCCTAATTACTCTTGTATGGGAATGGTTCAATGACTGCTTTTTTCTTGTGTGTCCTGCCAGGGAGCCGTCCCCTCAACTCCTGTCCCAAAAACACAGTAGGAAAAAGAAAGAAAG